ATTGATACCATTGTCTTGATACCATTGTCATTGATGCCATTTCAGTTTCATTGATATCATTGTCTTTTCCCTATGAATAGCCCAAGATTCGATGTCCCGAAACAGTATCTTTTTTAGTAAAGGTCCTGTATGGCCCCATACGTTGGTTATGTGGAGCTGATAAAGGCAGTTTAGTTTCTTTTAAGAACGTGAAGTTATTCCACATCTGGAACAAAACAACTTCCATATGTTTTTAAACAAAACAAACCCAACAGAACCCATGTCAAAAGAGCTACCACAAAATAACCTCATGACTGGAACACCTACTCAGATTTTGGTGGCGTATTTGAATCCCTGTCCTAAGGTCTGAAGAAGGGTTTCAGATGCAGTCTTTCCATGTGCAGAAGAACACTATCACTGCTCAACTATCCTACAGGCATGCCTTAAAAAACCCATAAGCGCCTTTAAAGGAAATTTCTAAAAGGTTAGACAGAAGACAATTCACTGACTGTGATGCAGACCCATGCAGCAATTTACACACACAATTTATGCATGAAACTATCACCCCCTCATGTGAAGAAAAGTTAAAAATGTTTTCTCAACATCAGGCTTTATGGGCATAGCTCTGTGTGAGACACCCAAATAATGTGATGTTTAGCAAGAATTAAGCCTCAGTCACAATGAGTTTGTTCTGCTAAGTACAGAATTACCAGATACCAATCTCTATTCCTATATATTCAATATAATTTGCTTAATGACTAAATATTCATGTCATGCTAGTTTCCAGGTATTTCTTAACTTCAATCTTTGATTTTTCTACCAAACATGTTCTCAGGCAGTGTACCAGGGTGAATTTATGCTGATATTTCTGGTCTGTGTTTGGCCCTGCCACCTGTGAAAGCTTTGCTCTTTCCCTGCCAAGTTATGGGAAAACAAGCACTGATAAACCGGAAAGTTGTCCTTGAAGAGAGCTTCTTGTACAAACTGTTTTAATTGGTATTCTGTGATTGGCTAGTTGTCCTCCAAGGTCGCTTGAAGGAGAGATTTAGGAGGAGGATGAAGGATGCCCCCAGACTCATTTGGAAAAGACCCCCCTGAGTACAGTACGCAGGCGCAGGGAATGCCACGCGTGCGCAGAAGAGATGCACTTACATAACCGGGAGGTGAGACTGAGGGCCTCTGGCTGGGTGGTGCTGGCCACGCCTGGGAGGTTGTGTTCACTCAATTAATTGTATAAAAAGCAGGTGGTGCTTTCTTGGGGGGAGCTAACTTCACACCAAGGACAAGGTTGCCTTTGGCGGGGACGCCTGCCAGTTTGTGAACTTACTGACTCTCCAAGGATGCAGCTCCTGCTATGGGTAATTATAGGCACGCTAGGTCGGTAAGATAACTTTATGGGCAACAGCTGGGTAACTGGGGAGGTCGTGCTGGGGGCTTACTTCTCTCCTCCTTCCTCCCTTTTGGGTTTGTTCGTTTTGTTGGCCACCTCTTGGTAATAAATATTGGTTTTTGTTAAGCTTTTAACGGTGTCATGGTTTCAAGTTTCAGTATGGTTTTGAACCCTCCCTAATACAGGCGGTCATTGAATCCAGGGTCATCAGAGACCAGCAAAGAGGATGATATAATCCGCATCTGGGAAAAAGGCCAAACCCAGCTCTTACTGATGCTCCTATGCTTTGATTCAGGGAAACCTGCATCTTATTTTTCTCTACTTAGCAAGATATCAGCTGTTTCAAGTGATATCAAGAAACCAAAAGGGGTTTGGGACAGAAAAAAGCACAAGGGATTAAAAAACCCCAAAGCAAAACCCTAACTAAAAATAAGCAAGAAGGCACTGAAATAAAATCTTTACAGATCTTCATTACTTATGAAAAAAGTTGTCAATCTTAATTGCAGCTGAACTGCTGTCAAGAGAAATCTTTGCCAAATGGAGCTGATTACACTTCAAATTAAAATAAAAATTTGTCATCGATATGCTGTGGAAGCTGACACTTTGCATTAGTATTATTTCTGAAAAGCTAACATCACTGGCTAAACATCCCTGGAAAACTCAAATCCCTATGCACCTCTGGCATGCTGCTCGATAGCTCAAACAGCCTTGTGCACTGCTGAGAGTAAGTAAAAAAAGACTTCCCTTTAAATGCCAATGAAAATGTGCCACTGGAAATTAAACACTGATTACTCATCTTAAATGTTATATTTACTGAAGCTGGTAAGTGACCAGCTCTCCTTCAGTGCAATAATGCCATGCTTGGCCAGAGAAGTGGAACTTTATTTATTATTTATTATTTATTGAAAGAGACTTCAACTTGAGTTCTGCAAACCCAAATGAGGATTCTATGGAATCCGTAACCAATGAAAAAACCCCCAAACTTACACTGCTCTGTCATGCATAAAAATGAAACCAAAACCGAGAAGCACTGGTAGATTATCCTTCTATAATTATTAGCGTACTTTCATGCTGCCCCTCTCAGCCCACAATTAATTCATGGTGGCCTGGCAGGGCAGAGAAGACAACTGCCAGTGCAATCAACTCCTGCAGAACTAAGGAAAGCTGATTCTTTCAAGTGTGCTCTAAGGAAAACTGCATTATCTATGGGCCTGCTGTGCAGGACAGGGCTGACATTTCACACAAACACAGCCCCTAGAAGAGGCCACGTGAACTGAGCCTGATTACCTTGACTTCAGGAAACCTTTTACAAACACTGAAGTTCACAAGTACATTTCAGCAAACTACACGAAAAGCTATGGAAGTAATAATTGCAAATAATAATGGAAATAATATTGAAATAATAATTGCAAAATAATAAAGTACACTAATTATAAAATAATGAAAGAAGGTTCAAGACACACCAGGAGTAATTGTCTTGAATTGTTCAATGCCAGATGAGTTTTCAAGCACACCCTAACTGCCTTGCAGGGAATACTCATGTTTCTTAACTTCCTTTCCGATTAAATACCTTCTTAATTTGCAACAAGAGCTTTAAAGGTCATGATAGCATCAGCACGCATTGCTACACAGTGTAATAACCAGGTTCTCTTAATGAGGGACTATCGAGTCCTTAAACTTCTGATATAATTTCTAAAACATAAATGACATCATAATTCAGACTGAGAAAAATTACATTAATTATAAACTCATGAAGAATACGGGACATGGGACACTGAGCCAAGTTGTACACTGCTATTACAGCAGCAAATTGCTCCATGGCTTAACACCATGTCTTTCCTAGAAAACTGGAGGCGTACTGGCTGGACTCCGGGTGCTATTTTCAGAGAAGTGAACAGACAGCATTTAAACCAGCTGTTATCTATCTGTTCAGTATTGATGATCTAATTTGGAAACGGGATTAAACTGCACGCACAGATTAATACACTGCTGTGCAGCTGCATGGATTTGTGACTGTCATGACAACCAGCAGAAAATGTATCCCAATAATCTTCCACGAGCAGATCTGTCTCCATGCAGCACTAAGAAGATTTATCACTAACACAGACATACTTACAATTATTTCATTGCAGATATTGAGAGTGGTATAATCTCTAACCCTCTCTGCATTTTAAAATACCAATTCACAACCAGAAGAGAGGCTCAACATATGAATGAATGCTGAAAGTAATGAAAATCCTTGGAAGCTGTTGGAAATGTATAATTTCTGAGAAAATATTAGTGTTTTCCAAGTAATTTTTCGTGGTTCTGAGTGTGCAAATTTGTATTTATTTTATAAGCATAACAAAGTCAGTATTATCCCTATACTTCCCACATTAGGCATAGTCTCGTATTTCAAGTAAGATTTCTATTTTGGAGTTATCTTTTTTCCTAACTCGTTTTCCTTGCAATAAGAAGAGTCTTTGGTTTTATGCCTCAGGAGAGAAAGTCAGAAAGCGGGACAGTGTTTCCAGCTCCATTACTGCCTGCTTGCAGAATTATTTAGTCTGTGTAACCATAAAAAATACAGAAAATTAAAAAGGGGAAAATAAAAGCCATTTATGTACTTTACAGGAAGACTTAGAGGCTGAGCTAAATAATATTTGCCAAGTGTCCCAAAAGAGAGCTGTCTATGCATGAAGGACTACTTTCTTTCCAAACACAAGGAAGAGCCATGCTGGAGATTTTTCTAGTGTTAGCCAAGAACTTCAAAGGTTGAAATTTATTTCCCACCTCACAGTAAAAATCAGGAAAAGAAGCAAACACGCCCCACTTCCAGGGCTTCGGAATAACACTGAAGGCTACAACTGGCCATGAAAAAGTTGTGTGGTATTCGCAGCTGTAAGCAGTTAATCCTTCTAAGAGCACCTTTTGGACATGTATCTTGCAACCACCTCAGTTACATGTGCCTCCCCAAGCAAAGCTCTACAGCTGCCACCATGCTGTGTCTGCTTGGGTCAGTGCTGTGTATCTCGTGGAACAGGAACTTGCAGTGGCTCCACTCCATGGAGCATCTCATTTCCTCAGAGGTGAAATCCAGAAAATCCTGCTATGAAGTTCAACCTACAGGAACCAAAGAAAAATCCTTTTTAGCAAAGGGCTAATAGATCAGTTTATTGCAATGTGGAGGTAGTATGAACAACCAAATATTTTCCAGTGCCACTTAATTGCCTAGTAAGATCAGAATGTATTATAATTAATTATTTGCATTTGCAATAGTGCAAATCCTGTCTTAGTTTACAAAATCACTATTTTCATCTGATAAAGCTATGGACTTCACAACTGGACAATATTTTTTAAAATACCCCAGAAGGTGCGATTTGAAAAAAACAACTTGGAAATATTCCACACAAGCAATTGTTAAGTATAGGAATATCAGCATATTCAGGCATCCCTATTTTGTAGTTCCCAAACAGACCTACTATCTATCTATCTATCTATCTATCTATCTATCTATCTATCTATCTATCTATCTATCTATCTATCTATCTATGAAGTCCTCGCGTCTCGTGACATAAGATACTATTTAGAAAAGAAGTCTCAGTTGAACTAAAGGCACTAGAAGATGGATGATAATATTTAAGTGGACAGGAAAAATAAACTCGATCAAATTATTTGTTCATTTACAGTCAAGAGATTGCTCAGCTCCTGGAACTGGTATAGATCTGAGAAAATATTTAAAAAGTAAACACATAGTGCAAGAAAAAATATCATATATATAATTTAGGACCCTTTTGGATAGACTTATACATCTTAAATTCAGGTGGATTTTTTTTATATACATATAAACAAACACTCTTCTCTCTTTGAAAACAAGCATCAGTTTTCAGTTTTCTTCCTGAACTGGGACCATTTAAACATGCTGGAACATGTGTGTACCCATAATATCAACAAATCTATTGGTGTGAATCAACTGAAATGCCAGACTACATCCTTAAAGGAGCATTCTTCTGATACCTGCTGTTAGGGAAGTGACTGCGCCTGACGCTTTGGAGCTATATGGAAATATTACACTGTCTAATAATCTAATAACAACCCAACCAGAAAACTTAGTAGTGTGTTTCTGCTCCTTCCATGGTCAAGCACAGGATGGGATTTCTTCGAATGAAAATATTTTTGCCTCAGGCTCCCATTAATTCTCAATGTGAGAGGGTGTAAGATAAGACGAGCGTTTCTCTCAAGGAATCTGCATTTAAGTAACAAATGGAACCCACTCCCCGTTATGAGGTATAGCCTCATGTTGCTCCGAGGGTTTTGAAAAAGCCTCAGCGTTAGGAAAATGCACCAATAAGCCCACCGGGAAATGCCAGAATTACAGAATCGTTAGGGTTGAAAGGGACCACTGGAGAACATCCAGTCCAACGCCCCTGCCAAGGCGGGGTAACCTGGAATAGGTAACAGGGGTTCGCGTCCAGGTGGGTTTGGAATGTCCCCATGATTCCTTTTCGCCAGGATACTTCCTCTAGGCAATCCAACTCACAAACTAGAACAGCAGCGACGTGCTATTACTGAAATTATCAGTAATAACTCCCTCAGCGGCATTTTAGCAGATGCTCGAGGGGGGGTTTCTTTCGCCTGCACGCAGCCCGCGATCCCCGGTGTCCAGGCTGGCTGGGCTCCCTGGAGAGGGAAGCGCGGGTACCTGAGGGCCAGCTGCCTCCCTCCACCTCCATCCCCGGCTCCGCAGGGCCCCGCCGGTCCGGCCCTTCCCTTCCCGGGATCCCGATCCCGGGAAGCAGCGCCGCCGCAGACCCCCGGCCCTTTCCCGCCGCCCGCCATTTCCTGCCCTCAGGCGTCCGCGCCATTTCCCCGCCTCCTGACACCGCTACCCTCGCTGCCCTCGGGAGAGACCGCCGGCACCCGGGAGCCTCCAAACCTCGGACAGCTCCGGCCCCGGCCGGCGTCGACCAGCCCCCGCTCCCCACTGGCACCTCCAGGCCGTCCCGGCCCCCCCACACCGCATCCCAGGAGCTACAGCTGCTCCCCCTTCCAGGCTTCAGGAGTTTTAACTTACAGACAGGCGTAGTTCCAAGGTACAACTCCCAGGACCCGCGTCACACAGGATTCCGGGGACCTGCAGTGCGTGCGTGTTTAGGGGGAAGAACTCTTCCAACAGTGCATAGGGAATACGGAGCTTAGAGAGGTCTGCGTGTCTATACAGACATTGGGGGCTGAGAGAGGATGGCAAGGTGGCTTTTCCAGACCTTCCACTCCCCCATCAACCTTCCCTCCTTCAGGATCAGGTGGTGCAGCAAGGAGGCACAAACGACTTCACGGATGGGAGCATTTTGGGCTTCAGTCATATGGGAAGGGAATTACAGGGAAGGGGGGGAAGGCTCTCTAGCAGAGCTACCACTTGAGGAGAGCCTTTCTCCCTGTCCCTTCGGGGGAGGAGGGGACGAGTCATAATCTCATCATGCTCCCACCCAGGCTCATAGGGAATCTTGAGGGGTTACCAGTAGACCCAACACCACTGGTTTGGGTGTTGTTTGTTTCTCTCCTACCAAATTCATGAACTGTTGTTGGAAAGGGGATATCAAACTGAATGAAGAAATGGCCCAACTGTGCTTACCAAACCACTGGCCTTGTTACCAATACCCAGAAACTGCTCAGTTGATATTGGACTTTAATTACCTAAAAGCAGGTTTCACTGGTCAGGCACACAGATCCTTCCTTTAATTCCACAGAGACTGACTTTGTCTATATGCACAAATATCCCCACAATTTCAGCGTTATGCAGCTAAGCAAGGAGGCCTGTCCCCTCCATGTTATCAAAAGACAAGCTGCTTATCAGAAGCCAGGTATAAATATAATAACTGATTTTATTTTCATGATTAACACTGGGCCACGTTCTTCCCTCTGCACAGAATCTCATCACAAATTACTTGCATCCAGAAAACACAAAACATAATAAAAAAAAGAATGCAAGTTACATTAATCAAATTGCTTGAAAGTTTAATTGAGATCCATGTTTGTTTTGCAACAGTTTCTCAAAAGCTACAATGAAACATATTCTTGAATGAGACTAAATAAATGCATGAATCCCAGGAAATAGTTCTGCATTTGAACATGGAATACAAAAGCCTGATTTTAGCTAAGACCTACAAGATTACCAAGAGCATTAGGGAATGTCCTTGCAAAAATTCCTCCATTTAAGGCTTTGAAAATAGTTTTTCAGAAATGTGGAGCACCTCTAACCTCCAGCAGTAATTAAGAATTAGTAGTTCTTAGCATCCTTGAGCATAGAGATAGACAAGTATTTTCTAAACGAATCTAACTTTACAGTAAAGAGATAATAATCATATTAAAAATGAGATTGATTCTTAACACTGGAAGCTGGCACTGTAATTGCCACTCAGTTGTTCCTAATGGATAAAACAAGTAATGCAACATTTAATGGTTGGTATTGTTTTATTGTCTAATATTGATTAAACTATTTACATTTCTACTTTTCAATCCACAGTTTACCACTCATACCTATGGCTTTTACTTTTATGTTTAGCATATCTTTGTGTCAAGTGTCAGAATTTCTTTTCAAAAAAACCAAGAACCTGATACCATATAGAAAAATCTCTATATGTTTAAACATATTCATTTTCAAAAATGATTACTTATAAAAGAAGAGTCTGCTAGTAGCTTTTATCCAATTTGTCTTTGCCACAGACTCTACCAAGTTTTTTTATTTTTAAGTGTCCCTTTTAGAGTGTCCTGCTGCCTCCATGTGGAATCTGTTCCCTCCCTCAGCCCCCCACCTCTAAGTTTAATGCAAAAAGAAAACCAGTAGCTGACAATTTTAAGCAAAAATATAAAGCACTATAACATTACCTACATTGCCTTTTACAGAACTAAATTCTCAAAAACTCCAGAAACTTTTGGGAAGTTTAACTAGTAAGTGCTGAAAAGGCATGGGATTTTTGTGCTCAGACACCTCCAGCAACAATGCTAATTTTAGCCCAGCCTGAAAGATCCGAAAATTCACAGGTACGTAATTGCCACTTACAATAGAAACCCTCAGATTTTAGTGATTCTCCTGCCACAGACACCCTGCAATACTATACAAGAGTTTGCTTCTACTGCAAGAGGAAAAGAGGTGAAATTACTCTTACATATACCCAGGAATGGTGTAACAATGATACAAGCTATTAATTGCTAAAAACCTCACAAAGGTGTCCATGTCTGTGGTAGCTTCTGTTCCATGGCATTACATGAATGGGAAAGTTATTTTTCACATATGAGAGAAGTTTAATTGTACATGAATAAAGCTAATTTTGGTCCACTGGTCCAGCTTCCTATGGACAGCATATTGGAAAGGTAACTGACAGTTCAAAAACCAATGTAAAAGTTAACAAAAATAATTTGGTATTTCATTCCTAAACCTGCAGTGTCATTATTTGTCCTAGTCATCCACGTTTTCATTCTGCATGTCCACTAATTGTTGTGTTTTTAAGTCTTCAGCTTGTTCATGATGTTCCTTATCCGCATCATCTATTTGATTAGGTTCCTTTTCTTCTGCTTCTCCTTGATCAACACTTTGATATTCTACTTGTTCAAGGTGTGTTCCATCTATAAGTTCTGCCTGTACCTCTTCCATCTGTATTTGATTTACATGCTCAACATGTAACTGCTCCACATGAACTTCAGCACCTTGTTCAGTCTGAATGTGTTCAACTTCCAAGTAACTAATTTGCACCTGTTCCTGCAGTTCCTCCATCTGTGTGCCTTTGACCTGATTGTCCTGTATGAGATCCTGGTGCATCTGTTCCACAGTTACCTGTGCAGGATCCACCTGTACCTGAATTACTGGTAGGACATGGACTTGCTCAACTTGCTCTATTATTGTCATTGATGTTACTGGTTCAGCTTCCATAGCTTCCACTGGAAGAACCTCTTCTGTCACCAGTAGTTCTGAAATATTGTGCATGTCTTTGAGATGCCTTCTCAGCTCACTGCCTTGCATAAACCACAAATCACACAAGGTACAGTGGTTGGGTTTGTCACCAGTGTGTATTACCAAGTGATCTTTGAACTGATCCCAGCTGTTAAAAACGCTGTTACAAACCTGAAACAAAAGATACAGTATGTTAAACAGTGCCAACAGAAATATGACAAAGTATGGTGCCTCTCTGAGATCATGGCTTCACATAGTGTGGCTTCTTGCTACTTGGATTCAAAAAACATAGACATTAGATGTAAAAGCTGAGAAGCAAGCTTCAGACAAACAGAAGACTTGGTATTTATTTATTCATTTTTTAAGAACAGTGAGCTACTTTGAGTTGTGCCTGCATAGGACACTGACAAAATTTGTCAGTTAGTAGAGCATTTGAAGAAAAAAAAGTGAAAAATTAAAGAAAAATTTATCCAAGACCTGCTGCAACTTTTTCAGGCTGAAGAGATACTAAGCCACAGTCACAACATCTGGGAGAGGATGAGGAAATATAGAAAGACAAAGCTATGACATGAAGTAATTAGACCGAAGGGTCACCAATTGTAAGACGCTGGATTAGTGTATTAATTATTGGCTTGGACCAACTCAAGTGGGGGGGGGTGGGAGGGAAGGGATAGGTCAAATTTCATGGAGGTGAAGTGATGTCATATCCCACACCCTTGGAGCCTCCTGGGGCAGCCCCAGAGCAGCTGTCAGTCTCTGGACAGGGGGAGCACTCCCCCCCCACCATCTGGTGGTGTGAGATTGTCACAGCAGTGGGGCAGCAAACCAGCAAATAAAAATGCTACAACCAACTTCAGCTCTTTTATTTTCTAGCTCTTCAGAATTGCTTTTAAAAGTGAATTAAAATTTATCTGAACAGCTTTTCAAATGACAGTTACATACAGTGACCAAGTACCCTAACAACCTCTACAGCATTTATTTTGCTTAAAAGACATTACAGATTGCCAGTGACACATTTGAATTTTCTGGATTTTTAGCTTTTTGTAGATTTTAAAGTAGCTATGTAGTAAATATAGATTTTTAATATAATTGTAGAGTCTCTCACACTTTAGTAGTTTACACTCACTAAACCCTATTTCCCCATTTCATATCAAATTTTCTAAATTCTTTAGGATTGTTTAGGCTCCTTTCAAGGTAGAATTGTAGAAAACATCTTCTGTTTAAGAATATTTGCATTCCACGCCTGAACAACAAGATACCATCATAGTCTGGAACATTGGAGAAGCTCCAAAGACAATATGTGCTGTGAAGAAGAGGAAGATGAGGAAGAAAGGGGTCTCAGGACCCCTGACTCAATTTCTGGAGAGGCATGCTGGGGGCAGATTTGGGGAGGAACTGGGGGGCAGATAGTTCTGGGATTGGATGGACAATACTATAAAATTGTAGAACCACTGGACACGGTGCACGTGCATCTGTTCTGTACTCCCATGGTCAGAGGGCATTCCTTAAAGACCCGCTCTATTATCTTATCTCTATTAAATTTGCGTGGAGTTTTTTTGGCTCCCGATCTTTAGGCAACACCAGCATAAGCTGGAATTACTTTCCAGATAAAGTCAGTATGTGTGGTACCAAAGAGAATAATAATAAAATAAAAAATAAAATATTATTTTGTATTTTGAACTTTAGTGAAGCATGGTCAGAAGTGGAAAAGGCCTAGGTCAGTGCATCGAGAACCTTGAAAAGGAAGCAGAAAGACCAGTAAAAGGCAGCCTTCCCGTAAGAATCTCTCTGATTATATGTATTATGAGGCTCCACATCAGTAATTCCACATTTTAAATGGAGCTACTTAGACATAAGAATTTACCTGCATATTGGGTTTGAATGTGATCTTTATTTTACTGAAGTAGCTCTTGGAGACATAAGGCCATTCTCCTTGCCTTTCTTGTTCAGTTCCCCCACTCCCTCGAAGGAGGGAGGTATCTAGCCTGGGACTCTGCTACTTCCATTACCCACCTGACATTCGTAGAGCTTCTTTCTTCCCTTTTTGGCTCCAGCTCCAGACTGACAGGCTGTGAGGTGACATTTGAGTGTGCTATTCCTAGCAAAACGTTCATGGCAGTTTGGACATTCAAATGGTTTTTCACCTGTTAAAACAAACACAGGATTTGTAAATGTATAAAACCACCCAGTCTTCTGTCAGGTCTCTCTTCTTCCCCTTTCTTCCTCTTGTCTAGGTTGATAAATACACTGTAAAGATGTGGCCAGCTGGATTATTCTAGAGAAGAAGAGATGGATATGCCATATAAAAGGGCAAAAAACCAAATGTGGAGTCATAACTCTCATTTAGAAGAAAACCAATGTAACAATTACCAGTACCATTTAAGGTACATTTCACTTTTGTGAAAATAAATTTAGTGGAAATTAGATTACTATTCCAATGAAGTATCTTAAAGAAATAGCAGCTTTTTCTCACTTTTCATCTGATAATTGTTATAATTAAAATATCAACATTAGTAAATATACAAAGTGACACATTAAAGAAGTATCTAAATAATTTAAACTTTTATTTTTAACAACAGTAACAGTTTAAACTGAGCTCCAGAAAAAGAAGGTGGCACATGATGAATGATAATGAAATAACGATCCATTAGTGTTAAAACGAACAACCCCCCCCCTCCTCTCCCAAAATACAGTGAAAAGCAAGCACAGAAGGACATAAATGGGCACAAGCAAGATAAAATTCCTTTCAGTTTGGCCACTTCTTTTTAACAATGGTATCAAACACAGAAGCCAGCTAAGGACGACAACAGAGGAGGCTGAAAACCGATCTTTTTATCATCTAAAGCAGTGTACTATTATCAAGTAGTAATGAACAAAAGGTCTCTCTTTACTAATTCCACCATGCACAAACACTCTGAAATTCAAGCAAATTAAATTACAAGAAAACTGGAAGAGTGTGTTTCTTCTGAAAGTCTGATAATTAAGCTGGGGAGGTACAACATCACTACCGAAACAAACTGCTCAATGAACTCCAAAAGAGCCATTTCAGTGAATACCTAAGAATCTATCCGAGTTAGTTTAAAAGCCTGCATTTTCAGGAATGCAATAGTTACTGGATATTGAGGTGGAAAGCCAATAAACCCACATCTTCAAAAATATTCAAAAGCTCCTAATTATCTTTTCAAAAGAAATCCACAATTCTCACTTAAAACACCTGAAAGCTAGACGAAGATGTTTAAATGACAGGAACATTGCCCTCAATGGTTACAAAAGGCTACATTTTTGGAGACTGTTGTAAAAGTAATGCAGAGATGCTGAACTGCCTTCAGTTTTGCAGGTCAAAAATCATGGATTTTGACCAAGCAACTAATCAGGTTGGAATCAGATGATCTTCAAGGTCTCTACTAACTACAATACTACAGAGCAGAGGGATACCTGCGTGGATGAACAAGGAGCTTCTGCAAAAACTGAAACACAAAAAGGAAGCCTAGAGTGGTGGAAGCAAGGACAGGTAGCCTGGGAAGAATACAGAGAGATTGTCTGAACAGAGAGAGATAAGGTTAGGGAGGAAGGCTGAAGACCTCATAGAATTAAACCTGACCAGGGACACCAAGGGCAACAAGAGAAGCTTCTCTAGATACAGGGGTGATAAAAAGACTAGGAAAAATGTGGGTGCTCTCCAGAAGGAAACAGGAGACCTGGTTACCTGGGACACAGAGAAAGCTGCAGGTCCTGAAGGAGCTGGTGGAGGAAGCCACTATCCATAAATTTTGAAAAGGTGTGGCAGCCTGGTCAAGTTCCCACTGACCAGAAAAGCAGAAGCATAACCCTTTTAAAAAAGAAAAATAAGGAAGACAAAGGGAAGTACAAGCCAATCAGCCTCACCTCTGCTCCCAGCAAAATCACAGGGCAAATCCTCCTGGAAACTATGCTATGAAGACAGGCTGAGAGCATTGGGGTTGTTCAGCCTGGGGAAGAAAAGGCTTCAGGGAGACAGTACAGCACCTTCCAGTATTTAAAGCGAGCCTACAGGAAGGCTGGAGAGGGACTTTTTACAACGGTACGGAGTGATACAACAAAGAGGGAATGGCCTTCACCTGAAAGATGGTAGGTTTAGATAAGATGCTAGGAAGAAATTCTTTACTCAGAAGGTAATGAGGCACCCCAGAGAAGTTGTGGATGCCCCATCCCTGGAAGTGTTCAAGGCCAGGTTGGATGGGGCTCTGAGCAACCTAGTGTAGTGGAAGGTTCCCTGCCCATGGTCCCAGGGATGTAACCAGATGATATTTAAGGTCCGTTCCAACCTAAGCCTTTCTATGATTCTATTTCTGCTGCAGTTACTATTTTCATGTAATTTCTGGCATAGTGACTGATCAACAATAGGATCAAACACTTTTTAGTTCATTTTGTCCCAGGCCTTTCAGTTTCATTTTAGCATTCAACCAGTGCTATGCAGAATTTGGAATTCAGAAAGCCTGTGACTGAATGGGAGTTTTTCCACTGACCTTAGGAGTTAAATGGTGATATCTGTTTTGATTTTGAGCTTAAGGCTTTTGAAAATGCTAAACTGGAAGTAATTAGATTCCATGTTATACTTATTAGATCAATATATAAAGTATTCTGTACCTTCTGTGATATGCTAACTTCCTTTGAACCAAAAATACTTTTTTGCAAGAGCAAACAACATATTACATACTTTGGGTTAATCTGGTTATCTGCCACAAACTTTTTTCTGAAGAGATTTTTGTTAAGTAGCTTGTATTTGGATTGCTCATAATGGAGAAACACTCCCTGCTTCATAGGGGATAAGGATTTGCCAAAAGCTATTTATAAACTGAACTTTTAAGAGGCTATTTGGAATAGACTGGACACTGCTATATATTCAATACTCAGCAGTCCCATACACAGATACATTTTAATTAAATTAAGCCATTCTAATTAAAAGGCTTTAACAGTAAGAAGCTGAAACAGAAACAGAGCTGCTACCCTCCATTAAATTTTTTCTGATGACTCATGATTGACATATTAAACAAAAACATCTGGAAGATCAAGACCACATATATATTACACTCAGAGTTATCTGTGTCATGCTTGGTATCTGTTCAGACAGTAGACTTTTCAGTGAGATGAAGTAATGTCCCATACTATAAGGAAGAAATAAGGAGCACAAGTCACTTTGTACTCCAAAAATGCTATCTAGATTTCAAAGAGGCAAATTTCACAATCGAAAAGTGTACTAGAGTGACTAGAAATGCTCTGCTGTTCTTAGTAGTTTTGCTTAATTAAGAAAGAAAATTCAAATCACAGATGAGGTGTCAAGAGCAAGGATAAAACTTTCCAAACAAGATGGTACAAGAGAGAATTTTTTGAGGGTATTTTATGTCTAATGCATTAATAGGCATTTGCTAAGAAGTTCTATTAGATAAAGAAAGCTCTAGACTGTATTCCACCAAGAAGCTCATGAGCAGATCATATTTCAACAGAAACTTTTATCAGAAAATTTTGAAAATACAAGTAGCTTAGTTTGGTACTTTTGAAGAAAGGAACATGCCTTAAGAAGGTATTTTGAAAAAAATCTTTAAGATTTAGTAGACTTGACAGAGAAGCTTCATTAGTGCCTTCTGGTTTTAGGTGCATATTTTTAATCAACTCAATCCCTCAAAAGTTTACATCAATGTAAAACAAAAAAACAAACAAAAAGACACACCAGCATTTTAGCTGTAACTAGAAACCAAGTATTTCTATCACTCAGGACTCATGTGTTTTTTTCAGCATATTCTCTATTTCCCCAAAACATGCAAAGCCCCAAAATGTGAGAACGAAGGCCACAAGCCCCGGACTGTAGCAGTGCTCTTACCTGTGTGCTTCCGCAGGTGCTCTTTAAAATGTCCAAAGTGGTCAAACTGCTTATCACAGTATTGGCATACATGTATTTTCTTGCCAGGTCTTTGCTTCTTGCTGACACCACCTTCATCAAGGTGGTAACAGGTGAGGTGCTGTTTCAAAGCACTCTCTCGTAGGTATCTTTTATTGCATATGTCACACTTGTAATTCTCAGCAGAGTGTGTTTTCATGTGTTCCTTAAAATGGTAAAACAATTTAAATGAACGGTTACATTTCTCACAGTGGAATAAATTGTTCACGTGTGACAGCTGAAGTTCCACAATTTCAATACCTTCTACCTGTTTGCACGAGGGATCAGTTGCATTATCACCTTCTTCTTGGATCTGGCATTTTCTCTCTCCTTGACGATACTTGCTGGTGATATCTGCCAAAAGAGCCAAAGCAGATTCATCTGATGTACCTGTTGTCTGAATGTACTTTATGGATTGCTCTGCAGAAGCTACTTCTTCAAGTGTTTCAATGCTGTCGTCTTCCACTTTCATCGTCCCTTCTCCAATCTCAACCTCAATTTCAACAGGTTCTGATTCTGCAGATGGCAGTGTTTCTGTGATAACATTAGAGGTTTCAGCAATCTTCCTCTTTTTTGGTTTATTTTTACCTTGCGCTTCATTTGATTCTAAGAGTGATGAATTTTCTTTGTTCCTGAAAATCATTTGCATAAACATTGTTAAGATCCATAAGCACTGACATAGGAACTCCTGCCTAGTAATGAGCTTCTGCATCCAACACTCTCTAGCCATTTCTCAAAGTTGAGTGATGAATGACCGCTTAATCTGTGTGCATGTCAGAAGCTAATTTGTCCTTGATCTACACTCCTTAGTGTAGTAAAATAGCATGGTTAAAGCTGCTAAGGTGCTGCTCAAATGACACAAAGCACCTATCAAGAAGAAAGGCCAGTTAACCTAAGACATAGGCTTATCTAAAAAAATTGTAAAGTTCTGTACTTGGAAAGAAAAATCCCCCAAAAGAAAGAGTACTTTGGCCTGCCTACTCAGAAATAAGGTTCAAGTCCCTACTATGCTCTTCAATTCTTAAGTTCTGAGTGTGTGCAGCTTCCCACAGTGCTAGGAGCTTGTTAGAAAACACTACAGCTGTGACTTCACACAGTGGTTATCATAGCATCTTGTACTTCAGGAAGGCACACAGCTAACAGCTGAGGTAAAAGCCAGCAGGATGTGGAAAGAGTATTCTAGTTTAATTTTCTGGGCTTGAACACAACCCTCAGTTCTGTTGCTATTTTCCCTGTGTAACACACGCTCAACTCCCCTTCCTACAAAATGTCAGAGATTGCATGTCATCCCAAACACAGACAGAACTGAGCAGGTCAATGCTTTCAAGTCATTCACAGCACTTCTGTGCTGCAGGTTCCGTTACTGATTATCAGTTTTGAAAACAAGTGGGTATCTCCCCCTCAAACAGACTGACTGGGGTAAGCCATGCTTTTACCCTCCTTTGCAGCAGGATGAATCCTTTCACGTAATGTACTCCCTATCATTTCCATGTTTTCTAGTAATAGGAGACAAGACTTGGCCCAATATCTCCAAGTCATATGTCAGAGATATGTGACTAATGATGTAATGCAGGACACAGCTTATCAAATTGCACCTTACTCTAGTCACACACAGGGAAACAGAGCAGCTAAACTCAGTTTCACCTAGCCTGGATTTCTGATGTCTACAAGATGATAGTTACACTGCACATTACTGCAAGGAGCTCTGGGATCATGTACCAAAAACCAGCAGTGTAGCATGCAGAAGGAATGAGAACATGAGAGCACTTTGTGGAAGTGAAAGGGAAGAAAGGGGATGAAAAACAGCGTGATGGGACTGGCACCCATTTTTCTAAAGCTTGGCAATGGAGTACAGTTTCTGGTAGAGGATAAAGCAACATTTGATTAAATACTGAACCCAGATAAAACTGACTACAACAGTTACATTCATTCAAGAAATTTGACAGGTTAGTTTTGCAGCAAGAAATTTTAAGATCACTGCTTATTCTCTCAGAATAGCAGAAAGCTGCATGAAATACAAACACCAGCACAAACTTGTTAATGTGTTCTGATACCTGAGGCACAGTGTCACTGTGCAGCTAGATGTCAGTCAGGTGTGGGCCTTCAGGCAGCACAGAGACCTGGTATCAGTTACCACAAAGACACAACCCTACAGCTTTGGCAACATTTATGAGCCATGTCACTTGCCATTGAGTTGCAGCCCAAAGAATGTGACATTCTTTTTTTAGCCTGTATATTTCTGACATGCACACCATAGTAGAAGAGTTATGGTGCTACAGATGCTAAGGAGGTTCCAGCATAAGGAACAGCACTGCAAAATACTGGCAGCCAGCTCTTACAAAAGGATTCTTAAGACTCTATATTTTAAGTGGTGGGAAGAAAAAGAGGCTGATGTGCTTACCTAATTTCAAGTGCTTTGATTGCTTCTAGCATCTGTAGATACTCAGCTGCTTTCCAAACATCATTTGCTTCTTCCTCACCTTGGACCATTAGTTTTGCTGTGTAGGTGAACTCAATTAGGTGACGAAATGCCATGTTACTTACACCTGTACACAGAAAAGAGAAACAACAGTTTCTTTTAGCAATTCCTCAGTCTCATCTACCTGATGAATCTTGCACACTTGCCTGCACACCATTGTGATCACAGTACTGTACCTGCCAATTTCATAAAGATAACACTCTTAAAAGGCTCCACAGAACCACTGAATGGTTTGGGCTGGAGGAGACCATAAATATCATCTAGTTCCAACCTCACTTGTGTTAGAATAGAAAGTCTGCTACAGAAACATGTGAACACTGTGGAGTTTTGCTGCGACAAAGATAAAAAGAAGGATGAGACGAACAAAAAGCTGTTTGAATAATATACAGATTTAAACACAAAAATACTATCCCTCTTTCAAGAGGTCTCTGAGCAGCAAGGTACTGGAGGGTGAAATACTGCTCCAGGAATTTGCTCCTTGCCTACCACACAAGTATTGCTCAATGTCTATCACACTTTTGCATCCCAGCCAAGGCATCTGCCATTGGCCATCACTGTCAACCTTTTCATCTGAGCAGACTGGCACTTCTCAGGGAAAAGATTTTGTCACACTGCAAGTTCGAAAAACATACAGAATCTGCCTGACCTCCACTAGCCATGTATCGGGGAAAGAAAGGAAAAAAATTAAAAAAGCGCCCACATAATCTCACATTTTCCCTTCCAACAATTTAATTCAAGAGTGTTCTTTTTCTTTTTGATTTTTCTTCAGGGGAAGTTTTTTTTCCAGTGGTGATAGCTGTCTCAGAACAACTCAAGAGGTAAGATCTAGAAAGCTAATTATATGACCAATCATCTTTAAGTGTTCAAGGCCAGGTTGCATAAGGCCTTGAGCAACCTGGTCTAGCAGGGGTACCTCTACCCATGACAGCAAGGTTGGGACTAGATGATCTTCAAGGACCTATCTAATCCTTAACATTCTATGATTCTATGTATGTAGGTGTGTACCAAGGATGCTATATTAATTTCCAATTTGAGCACACAACTCTGAGTGTTTTTAATTGTACAAATCAGATTACCTTCAATCTCCACCAAAGGCTCTTGAGTGAAATCTTGGAAGAATTTGTGGAAGAACTGGCTGCAGGCAGCAAGAACAGCCTTATGGGCTTTGAAATGGTGACCTGCAAAGAGAGACAAAAATTTTGGTTTAGGGTAACATAACTCCCTCCATACTGCAGAATAAGTGTAGATGCAGAAAAAGACTAGCCAGTCTAAACAACTATTCCACTATTCCAGCAGCATACAGTCCCTGTGTCTCCATAAAACATAGGATACTACTGCAGCTATCCTATCCCATCTCTTGCAGAATCTTGGTGACATCGCTTACCTTGCTAACGGTAACTCAACCAGATGGAGGACTCAGTCACTCCAGTGTTTCTCTTTTCAGATATTTAAGTTATGATACCAGATACCATAGAAGCAAGAAGTAAATCTTATTTCAAGGTGTGATTTTATTTAGACACAGTATTTGTAAAAGTTCTCTGTGTGCAAACAGTCAGCTCAAGTCAGAGAAAAATATTTTAATAATGTTTTGGAAATCTTTAGACAGCACGTTAAGTATAGCACAGCAGTTTCAAAGAGGGCTTCTATCTGAAAATACTTAGTCCTTTGTTTGGAAAAGAGAAGCAAAATTATTAATCACTGCTGGAGTCTGTTGACCCTGAGATGCTAAATGAAACTTTGCAAGTAACTCGCACACAGTGCAGAACCAGCCTGTTTGCAGCCCAGTCTGACAAAACTGTGACAAACCCAATAGCATCATAGCACAGCCTTTAGAATTCCCTGTATACCAGCTGGTTCCCAGGCCCATACATACCATCAACAATCAGGGTGATATCTGTAAACTGGTCCTGCTCACGTTGTTCATTCAGTCTATCCAAAATAACTTTATAGTGTTCAGGGAATTCCTGGATACATTCCATCGTTTCCTCAGCTTCCATGGCAAAAGACCTGGTCTGCAAAAAAGTACAGTGTGAGAGTAAGAATTCTGTGCCACTTGGTAAATACTGTGCACAGTCAGGTCTTTATACAGACATAAACTAACTAGAACTTTGCATGGACTATAAAACCAATAGAAACAACAAATTGTTCTGGTAACAGGTTTTTTACCTGATATGAGCTGACAGGTAGGAAATGGCACAGTTACTGATGTGGAATATTGTCTTATTTAGATACATGAAAGAACAGTCAAAGTGGATAAGCGTATTTCTTTATCCTACAGTTTCAGCAAGAATCCACCATCCTCAAAGCAAATACTGCAGGAATGCAACATCTCCATGGCTAATTATTCAACACCACAGCAGGATAATATCAGAATCTTTATAAAGTTACTTCTCACCATCCTACCACTCCACCTGGTAGAAGAACAGTTCTTAAAAATTTCATATTAAAGTTACATTTTGTTCCTTGTGAACACAAGATGTTTGCTTCCTTCAAGCATCCATGTAATCGAGCAGCAATTTTCAACTTCTAAGTACACTGGAGTTGCCAGGGATTTCATTTGCTGTCACACCCAAGCTTATTCATCCCTCCTACTTACACTTCTTCCCCTGCAAGGTGAAATATTCTTTGCTAGCCTTTCTAAAGAGACACATAGGCTTGTAATCTGATGGCATAAGTAGGTGTAGCAGTTGCACAGGATCTCAAACATAAAGAGGTTTAGCAAAACTCTGTGCCTGTGGATGAGATGCAGATGTTAGTCTTCTGCTTATGCAAAAGAACCTCAGGAGAGCTTCCAAGTGCTTCAATGAAAGCATTTAACAAATCACCCCCAGGCAAAATTACTTCAGATCTATGCAGCAACACTCATCTTCAACTCCCACATTAACACGGCTTACACTTAGAATGCCGCAGAAAAGAAAAATTATGGAGCTCCTATTTTCACCACAAAACACACTCTTTCTTGCATCTCAAGGAAAACTGCCCACAGAGAAGTCATTTTGCCAAGAGAACAAAATAAGTAGAGAACAAGCAACCACTTAGGGAAATCCAGCTCCACCTGCTATTGCTGCGTTGCCAACCAGGGAAATACCCACAAAAATCAGATTCATTACGTGGTGTGCAACAAGCCAATAATTAAACATTCAAGAGACACTGGTTATCTGTTCCAGAGTTATGCAAGCCTGGGTTCCCGGTGGTATTCCACAAATCAAGCACACCAACTATCAAAACTTTTTACTATTTTATATTACTATTTTCCTATACACTATATTACTATGCATTTTAGCAAACAAAGGAATTAGTGTTCAGTGGCTACAAATTACATGGTTTTCCTGTTAATTAGTATTTTATCTTCTACTGGTTAATGATTCTCCTGCTTCTCATGCTAATTAATCCACATTCTCACTCTTTCTCCGGAGTCCTTAGGTTTCTTGGGTTGGTGGTCATGATCACTCCTTGGCAGAATTACGTTTTACCCAATTGGAGCAGATTTCAGCACAGTTGCTGGGTTGGCTTTATTAGTTTCTTCCTCACCTTGGGGGTTCTTCCCAATGTCCCTGTGGCCTGTAAATTCTCCATTCTTTGTGTCCACTGTAAGTGGGCATTCTTCTTCCCAAGCTTTGTTAACCTCTCCCTAGGTCTGAAATCATTGAAGCGTGTCCAGTCCTAAACCTTAACAAGGCAGTTCTACCAACAGGTAATGTGTTTTTCTAATGCCTGGACATCACTTAGAGCTTGTTGGCTTCTCTCTGTTTCACGGATTAAATCTCCTTTCTCGTTGATCAGGCTTGAAAGTTTATCAAGATCAAACATCAAAGAATATCCTTTCTTAAGAAAATTTTACATATTCCACTTTTTGCAACAGAAACGTGTCAGGGTCTTCAAGGAGGCAGAGACCAGCCTACAGGGGAAGGTGAGGTGGAAGGGAGTGGATGCTGCTGCTACAGTGACTGCATCTCATCTGTAATGATGGGTCTGAGACAGACAACCAGCAGCTCCTGCTTTCCTCCACCATCTGGTATTTCATATAAAGTCTCATGCAGGAAGTTGTCAGCCACTTACTTCACTGTTTAATTCTTTTTGCCCATTTTTCACACATCATAAAACGGTAGATAACTTGCAGCTAAAAACATAATTCCGTAAAACAAGCAAGATTTTGATCTCCAACTCTCACGATTTCTACCTACCCAAACGCGATTTAGTTTCAAATTGTTTGTTTACAGGGATATCCCAAAACACCCTCCAAACCCTCAAAATACTAGAGTAACCTCACCCCAGCAAATCCAAGATATTTTAAAAAGTTTTTTTGTCAGAACTCTTATGAAACATGAGTAAGGAGACATACAACTTATGTTAGCTAGTTCATTGTCATAAATTTACACAGAACTAGTAAAAATCGTGAATTTACTGTGTATCTCAACGAAGTTGCAGCACTCATTGAATACTCTGTTAAAAACTCGGTCATACTGCAGAAGAAAGCCAGGCAGAACAGCATATGTTCAGTAGGAGCACAACTGTTCTGGACAAAGAAAAGAAAGGTACAGCTGGGAAAACAGAACAGCTCAGGAAGATGGACAGAAGTGATCCAAGTTCCCTCTTATGAGCAGGCTCACAGATGAGGGATGGAAACTGTAATACTTCAGTTGTTCACCCAATTTTCTTGGAAGACTCGTTCAACTACTGACCACCTTTCCAGCCTGTACTCCTTTCACGTCACATGCATACGATTTAGAGATTTTTATAAATCCACCTCAACGGAAACATCTTATTACTACCACCCTCCTGGACTACAACGGGAACTCCTTGTATTTTAGGCACCAGACATTTTCCAGCGCACGGGTCCCACAGGGCAGCTCGGCGGGGCGGGTGCAGCCTGCACAAACCACCGCCATCTTGGGCAAGGGGGACCTGCGGGGTGTGCAGTGAAGCAGCAGGAATCTCTCGTGCACTGAGCCGCACGTTTTTGCCCAGAGCCACCGCCCCGGCAGGCGCCGCTCCCGTTCCCGTTTCCAATTCCGTTCCCGCTCCCCCTTCCCGCACTGCGGGGCCGGGCCGCGCCCCTCGCGACCGCCAGAGTGCGTCACCGCCCCTGCGCCCCGCCCGCAGCTCCCGCCGCCCGCGGGCTTCGGCCCGCGCGCCCCGCGGCCCCACTGGCGGGTGCCGCTGTCAGTCAGCGCGGCCCCCGCCAATCGCGAGGCGCAGGCCTAGCCCGCCCCGCGCGGAGCAGCCAATGAGCGGCCGCCGAGTGCCCGGAGCGGGCGAAGGCGGAAGGCCTGGCCCGCGCCCACGGCCCGCCGGGCACGGCCGGTGCGGGCGCGGGGCGAGCGGCGCCCGCGGGCGCGGGAGTCCCTCGGGGAAGTCCCACGGGGGGAGCTCGACCGCCGCTGGTTCGAGTCGGACGCTCGGCAGCGCCGCCGCCTCGTTAGTCCTTATTACGTCATCAAAGCGCGCATTAAATCGATCCCTTTTCAATTCCTGGCCGGGTCGCGGCCCGGCGGCGCGGTGCGCCGCAGGGTGGCAAGACGGTTCCGCCAGGGACTCACCAGGAGCAGCTCCTCGCCGCGCCGCTTCCCGCTCCGCCGCCGCCGCTTCCTGCTGCCCGGCACGCTGGAAAGGGGGCGCGCGCCGGCCAATCCCGACTCGCATTCCCGGCCTGCCCCGCGCTCACCTTACACGCGACAGGGCGCGCGCGCGGCAGGGGCGGGACCCGGCGGCCCGGGGCATGCCGGGAGCTGTAGTTCGTGACTATAGCATGGGTGGGGCGGGCAAGGGGGTGGAATGAGGGACGCAGAACGGGGCAGTGTGTTATCGGGTCCAACAACCTTACTCTAACAGGGCCATCTCAAAGCACATTGCACCGAATTGCGTCCAGACAGCTCTGGAATATCTCCAGTGTGGGAACTTTCTGGGCAACCTGTTCCAGTGCTGGGTCACCACACAGTAAAAAAGTTCAGTTTCTGCCCTTTGCCTCTTGTCCTGTTGGTTGGAACCACAGAGAAGGGCCTGGTGTCGCGGTCCGAAGGGAGAAGGGGACAGGACACGAGGAAGGGTGCAAGCAGAATCCTCTATTCAGGCGTGCACACACTCTTTTTGTCAGCTCGGGAGCCGAAAGGGCCAGAACATATGGCGGAGACAAGCAGGGGGACAAACCAGAATCAGACATGGGCAAAAAGGGGAGGAGTGGGGGAAGCAGGCAGCAGGCAAACTCGTGGCAAGCCTGGGCATGTGCAGTTGTGCACTGTGTGTGTGAATACAATGAAACCACATAATAA